GAGAGAGAGAGAGAGAGACAGAGCGTCGAAATCTGGCTTTTAAGCAGGATTGCACTTATCGAGTTGGTTATTTAAAGAAACGGTTTCGCATTGAAACGCAGGGTGAGTTTAAGTCGAACGTTTATATCGATTGATTCGCTATTTGTTTGAATTTTATTATCATTTTTTCCCTTTTATTATGATGAAATGAAAACGTTTGAGAGTTGATTTTTTTGAAAAATTGGAAATGTATTTTAGTAAATTGAAAGTATTTCGAATTTCGAAGGACAAAGAATTATAAAAGGAAAGAAATATATCTGTTTAAATCTGTAATCATATCGTGATATAATTTATTTTAACATCCACTTTTACTATCGAAATTCACGAGATGGATTTTTCTTCCGTTACATCTGTTTCATTTATTAAGAATCAAAGGAAGTTGAATAAAAGAAACTTCTATACCTTTGCTCTCTCGTTCGTACTTCTGAAATTTTTCCTATGACGCATTTATTATCCTTATAAAAGCAACGCAATAAAGAATCGCGAGAAGTAGAAGAAAACAGAGGGATGAAAAGGGAAAGAAAGGATATTTTTCTTGAGCTTGATGACGAGAGGGAGGAAAAGTTCCTCTTTTACACCAACATTTTAAGGATATCCTTTCCATACGCGAAAATAATCTACGAATAAATCTCGTGAGATGCCGCAAAACTTTTCAAATATCACCTGTTGGCTTCGCCATTTTTCTCGTATTAGTTGAAGTTAGGATTAGTAGATGAACATTCTTCTCTTCTTGTTTCATAGCTAAAGTCTGGAGATTAGTATTATAGAAATACTATTTGAAATTATTTAAGTATGCGCAACATTGCATGTTAATTTTAATCAAATAGAACGGAAGAATAGAATTTTTTTTAATAACAAAATTTGTCTTTCTCTTATTCGTTAATATTTTTATATTCTTCTTTAATATTTTTAAATTCAAAAGTGCTAAAATTTAAAGTGCAAAATATAAAGTTCCAAGAGATAAAAGCATACTTAATAACGAAAAAAAGAAAAGATAAACTAGAATGCTATACTTCCTTATTTTTTATACATTTCTCTTTCTTTTTGTTGTGTACGTTAGTAATTCCAAAGCACTTTTAAAATGAAACTATATAATACATGCTTTCTAGGAGATACGAAATGTAAAATCTCGTAGAAAGTGAATCGATCGTTAAATAATTATAATTATTATAACGAAAATTAAAATATTTGTATACGAGATATCCATCTTCGAGCCGTTATTATACGTTAATTAACCAAGCAAATCGTGAGAAAAAGAACCTGGCAAGAAACTAGCCAAACGAGGGAAAAAGAGCACGTGATCTTCGCGTTCCAGGCTACTTAAGAAAAAACGGGAAAAAAGAAATTCTTAATTCAGGGAACGCCGGAGAATGGAAGAATATTTGCATCGCAAACAAACAACCGAAAAAAGAAGGACCGACGAGGCACACGTATATGGAACGAAATAAAAAGATGGAAAATTAAAAATAAGAAAAAAGACCACGGAAAATTACTTCGTCGTCGGCAAGAGAGTAGCGTTTTATTAATATTACCGATTATCGAATCTCCAAATTTATGTTCAATTACGGGATTAAATGGAAATTATTTTTATTTCTCTTCCCTTCTATTTTTTTTATTTAGATCCTGGACGATATTCGTTAACGATCATAGAATTACTTTATATCGTACGAGTGACAGGATTTCATGAAACGAGTCAAAAATATTTCGTAGAATGATGGATGAATACGTAACAATAGAACTATCAAAACTTGTCGAAATAGTGATTAAAAATAACGAGAAGAAGCTTTCGGTATAATTAAAACTGACACTTTTATCGAAAGAATATACATTTAATTTATTCCTAATATAATACTTCAATTATAATTACTCACGTACAATATATATGGGTTACAATTTTATCATCGAAATCTACTCAGGATATAGAGGAAAGCATGCCATTGAAGACACATTTTGTTTTATCCCGATATCTCAAACAGTCGCCGAGATATAACGATTCAAAGTGTCTATAATGCTTAGCATAGCGCAGGGGTTATGAATGGAACCGTGACCTACATTATTTCTTGGAAATGCTTACTACGTTTTTCTAGGAATCGCGTCTGCCACTTGTCTGGAGTTTGGGATAGGTCGGTGAGACGAGGAGCGAGCGAGAGGTCCGAGTACGGGGCAAGGATGCAGATAGTAAACGATTAAAAATTACTCTTCTCTTTACACGACGATATCTCGGGAACCGGAAGTCGTATCGGGATAAATGAAAGAGCGTTTTAAAGAGGAAGATTTCCCGCTTCTAATGATCCCTCACTCGATGATTAAAAAGCATTATCTTCCAAGTTATAGCGGTTTAAATTTTCTCAAATTTTAATCGAGTTTTAAAGCGAACTACACGAAAAATACGTTTAATGACCTCATTATGATGGTATTTTATAATTGATTTGCAAGTTATTTCAAGTTCTTTGTTCGAAATGAGTTGGATATTTAATTAATCAATCCGAGTTTTGAGTTTAATTGTTGAATTGAATTATGTACACGCATTTTTGGACATTAAACGATGTTATTATTATTTTTATCCCTTTATGTTCGATAAAAATTATTTTTCGACGAATTCATCGAGATTCGATTTCCTTAAAAACGATTTTCAACGCGTCGCTCCGAGACACGTCCCAACGAGCGCGACAAACGAATTGTCTTTGCCAGATGTTGCAATTCAATTGGTAATGCTCGCGTCAATACACTGCGGATTTTGTTTCATCGGAAAGAGTATCGGTTAGCTTTTGATCCATTGACGAACGATATTAAAATAATTAAAAGACGAATCGAATGAAATGTTCACAATCAACGCGAATCCTGTTTTGCTTCTTTGAATTTTTGATAGAACGGAATGAAAGATTGATTGGCTTTTTTCCTTTTTTCAAATGATTGTCCATCAAAAACAGAATTATCAAGAAAATGAAACGCGTAATCGAATTAATTTTGTTGTATCGATATTCCCACTTTAATTCAGCATCGAAATTGATTTAATTAAATCAAGAAGATCTAATTCTCGTAATTCGAAGCGATGATACGCGTAATTAAAATTTTAAACAGAATCCCTCCGTCGAAAATATTTTACTCCGGCCTCAGTCCAATAATTTTTAAAGCAATTTTACGTAAAAGATTAAAAATGAAACGTGCAGATGATACTCACCTGCAGATCGTGTATCGTCAACGTCATATGCGTCTTGTACGAGGGTTTCTCCGGTGTGGAGGTGGTCTTGTATTTGTTGCTACCCTGAATCATCAGGCCATCCTCCCTGGTCCAGTAATTCAAAGAAGTTGGATGAGCCTCGGTGTGGCATTCCAACGTGACTGAGTGGTCCAAGGGTGCACCGACCAATTGGTGCGGTATCCAGAGCATAGGGGGGACTGAAACGAGAAAAGTGATTGATTGGCTCATAAATGTTCCAATTACTAGCGATACAAGCAGGAGTGTGGCGTACGGATCGATAACCGGTCCACGTCTATAAATCTTGGCCCGAGTTTGTCGAACAAGCGCTGTATACGCTTCTCGATTCGATCATGCTCTTAGCAGCCGAGAACAAAACGGTGGTCGGGACGCCTCATCAACGAGGTAAAAGATATTTCTCTGATTGTAACGTTAATTTTTCTTTTTTTTTTTAGACAATGAAATTTTTTAGACAATAATTAAATGATGTTATATTTCGATCGATGAAATTTTGTTAGGATAATAACCTAATTAATGGATTATTATTTACATTATTAATAGAATGTAAAATAAAATTTCTATAAATGTAACTGAAAAGAAATGAAGCTTAAATCTATTTTTAAATCTATTTAATTATTAATTAGGATGCATAAAATTTTGTAAGGTGTTTTGAGTAAATTTATTCATTTGATAAAAACGTAAATACTTTTAAATATAATTTGATATATATTTCAATAATATAAAATCAAAAAGAATTATTAAAGGATTTCAAGTTATAAGATGTTTTGACAAAAGCCTCGTTTAAAAATATATGATTTTTTAAAATTTTCTTCATCGACAAGTTGATTTTTATTGACTTTACGTCATCTGATACAACCTTAAAAAAATTTAGTATTTCGAAATATATGAATATAAGAACATTTTAACGAATTTTAAGAAAGAATACCGATATAATCTCTGTTAGAAAAAATTTAAACAAAAATCAGGGAAAATTATTACACTCGCAAAAATATCGAATAACCTTTTTTCATATTTAACAAAATCGATCGCTCATCGAAGGCATCGACTGTTTCACTTCGTTACATGAAATAAATGTTCGATTCCTGAAGTTAAATACACCGTTACGACGCATAACAGATTCCACCATTAAGAAACAACAATCCATCAACGTGGTGTTGTAAAGCGGCGAAAAAATGGCCGCCCTCTCTTTCGTTCCTTTAATTCAAGCAACTTTATCGAATTTCCATAAAATATCACCGGCATCCGTCTTCATTCTTTTCCGCCGAGGAACACGGCGCTCGTTGAAAACGCGGTCGAAACATTGACGCAAGTTTTCGCAACAATCTTGTGCAACCTTGCGTTGTTTCCAGCCCCGTTGTTGTCTTTAATCGAGCATCTTGACGTTAATTTGCTCTTAATTGCCCGACGCCCGCGGCGCGTAAATCAAAACTTAACGAGAAGGTAAGAGGGGGGGTGGTGGTGGTGGTGGTGGAGAGGTCGATGGAAGAAAATAGAAAAGTGTGAACAACCGGGCAAGAAGAGGCAGCTGAAGAAGGAAAAGGAAAAAGTATGCTAACAGGCAGAATCAAGTTTCTTCTTAAGGAAATATTGGACAGTTAGATAGTTAATGTTGTCGTAGTAAATTATATATTGAATTTCTGGGGAGGTTGTTTTATAGAGAGAGAATTTTCGAAATAGAATATATTTGTAAAATACGTATATATTTTAAAATAAAACCGAATAATTTATTTTATCCGAAACGTATAGTTAGTACTTTTTTTTAATAAACAAATGATATTAATCGTGCGACGAGTGAAATTTTTGACAAAAGTTTTGACAATAGAAAATATTGATTGGTGAAAAAAAGCGAAATCGTTATATATATTTCTCGTTCGATTCGTAGAAACGCGAGGGTAATTGCGATAATCGATAAGGCATTTGGATAGGGAAGCAAAGGATTGCATTTGGGTTAATCGGATCTTTTTAAAGCCTATTTACGAGTTAGAAAAGTGGAGAGGAAACTCCTGTATTCATTTGTGGCACGGATCGATGCTGATTGAAAAGTAACGAAAGTGGTACGGATACGAGTTTGGCTTGTAATGTTTCTCTGTTTATTCAACTTTGTTCCACCGTAATTATGATCGCTGCTTTGTATCTCGTTTCGTTGATCGGGTAAATTGATTTATAAGTGCAATAATAGGAATTTATTTAACGAAGAATAAATTAGCATTGTTATAATTTTCAATTATGCGCGAAATATTAACTATTTATCACGAAATGGGAATAAATATATTAAAAGAAAAAAAAAAATAAGAATGTAAATATAATTTGATATAAATTTGATTAAATCAATTAAATTCATCGTTAAATTAAATTGTAGAATTGTTTATTACGAAAGAGGTAAGTTCACTTTCCCTAGCTTAATTGAATATAATTTTATATCTCTTATAGAATCTCCGGTTCTCGATAATTCATTTTGATTATATATGAAATTTATTTATGCTTTGCATGATTGCAATTAATAAAATTATATTAAAACACGCAACAATTATTAACAATTAACTCGAATAGTTCGTATGGCATTCAATAACGACTATTTTTAATTTATTACAACAATAATGAAAAGTTTAAAAATGATATATAGAAAGAGAATATTTAAATAAATTTCAACGGAATAACTTTCATCCTCCAAATACTTTAATTTGAATTTGTGCGCATTTCATATATATTTTTCCACCCTTAAATTTCCAAATCGTCCAATCGCAATCGAAGTATTATTCTTCGATCGGGAATGAGAATTGCGAGCAATTCCAGGGTGTACATCGGTCATGATTAATCCCACCGTCTCTTTTTTTTTTTTCCTCTTCCATTTCAACACGTTTAAATCTCAGAAAATAAGTCATGCAGGATTTAGCACGCTTAGAGCCGCGGAGTTGGTCCAATAAAAAAGTAATTCCGCCACGACGAATGGTTTTCCATAGGAACCCTCGTGCCCCTGATAATGCCTCTATGGGATGGGAGTGCTTCAATTTAACTTAAACCTCGTAACAATACACCAGGAGACCTCGAACTTTCCCGTAGTCACATTTTTCATGAAGTTCGAGACGAGTCGAGCATAATTCACGCGAAAACGTTCGCGACAAGGAAAGGTGGAAGGTGCGGAAATGGAGTATAACTCTTAATATTTGAGGCTAGTACGAACTTAATACATTGTACGAAAGTCTTTGTAACGAAAATTCGAAAATAATATTCTTTCCACTTGTACTAATTTACGTGTACATTTGTGGTTCTTTTTATTTTTTAATCGAATCAATTTTTCAAAGTTTTTTAAATTTTTAATACGATAAGAAGAAGATAAAGTAAAATTCTAAATTGTATGTGAAAGTATGTTAAAATTTCTTCTTCTCAAAGATTCTTCATATATAACTTATTACACTCTGCATGCACACGAATTTTCATTCAAATCAGAATAATTAATTTTTCTCGCGTTAAAATAATGTTCAAACATTCGTATCATTATTACAGTTCATGGTAAAAATTACATTTTTACGAGCAATCTATTTATTAAGAAAGAGAAAGCTTCAATGCTACCGATATTTTTTCAATTTACAAAATTAAATTATATTTTTATTACCCTATACATTGTCATCTTTTCGAAAACTGCAGCAATGATTCATTACAGCATCATTTATTCGTCCCTTAAAAATTACAATCTAACAATTAAAAAAAAAAAAATAAACGTATCCATAATTTAATCCATAATTTATCTTGCGAAAATATTATTACCGCGGAACGAAAAAAATCTTCCACAAAGATTTAAATTTGAAAAGAAGAAGAAGAAGAAGAAAAAAATGAATTTACTGACGTATTTCAGTCAAGTTATAATAAAAATTTCTGTTTCCATATTCTTTATTACATCGTCACTCTTCCGCACCGGAAATTATATTTCCTATTACACTATTCAAAAGTCGCAACTATCGCGCACTTTTTAACACCACCCATGCAAAGTCTGCATTAAATACCTCAACCCTTATAACTTATGTACTTTTTAATTCTCCCACGCATTTTTACAGCCTGGCGAATTCAGCGAGCCACTGCATAAAACGAAAAAACACCTGGGAATATAGAATTCTAGATTGAAGTCGCTAATGAACTGCCTGCATTATTTCGTTCACGCGATCAACATTCTATCCATCGACCGAGAGAGATCTTTCTCCCCTTTTCTATCGAGAGCTTAATTTTTTATTCCGGGAGAATGATAGAAACACCTGATATTGCGTAAAGAAAAGAAAAAAAGAAAAAGAATAAGAAAAAGAGAGACAGACAGAGAGAAAAATCTAATATTGCCTCGCTACTTTACTCGACCAAAATTTTTTCCTTTCATCGCCAAACACGTTGCGCGCGTTTCTCTCTCTATGAAAGGTTGCTTAACTCTTATTTTGAAAGAATAGTACGGATATCCAACATTGTGTAACAGGGGTAACAAAAAAAANAAAAAAAAAAAAAGAAAAGAAACAAATAGAATAAGAAAAGGAGAGAGAAATTTAATTTTATTCCACTATTCTACTCAACTAAAAAACAATCTTTCTGCTCGTGCTACATGAGCTTGATTATCTTTTATTCCACAAAAAAGAAAAAAAAACAATTAATACTGTGTAACAGAGAGAAAAAAGAGAAGAGAAAAAAAAATAGAAAGAAATCCGAAGATTTCGCTTCACAATTTTTATTCGATTAAAAAAAATAATTCTTATCTTCTTCGTCATATCTTAGATACTTTGCGTTTCTCTACGAGAACTCGCTTAACTTTTATCTCGAAAGAATGGTACCAATATCCAATACTGTATATAATAGAAAAGAAAAGATAAAATAGAAAAAGAAAAATAGGAGAGAGAGGGGGGGGGAAGGAAAAAAATAAGAATAGAGAATGAAATCTGATTTTGCTCCATCTCGAAGACGAAGACTGATACAAAAGCGTGCAGATAGTAAAGAGCTTTAAAATTTAAATAAAGATTCTCCGTCGAATGGTTTCAGGAAGCAACTTTCACCCCTCTCATTCCACGGGGAATTACATGGCTCCCTATCTCGCCAGCTTTAACAGCGGCTGCAAGCTTGATTTTCTTGATCCCTTAAGATTCTTCGGGGCATGTTTTATTTAAGGAACGTTGAAAGCTTATCTTTGATGTCGACGGATACATGATAA